GGCCTTGGAGAACCTGATCGACACTCTCGGCATTCCCCGCCGGCTTAGCGATTGGGGTGTTTCAGAGGCTGACTTGGCCCTCATTGCTCAGGACGCCTTGGAAGACTTGGTGGTCGCAACCAATCCTCGCCCCATAGCCACTCAAGAAGAGGTCGTGGAGCTACTGCACCGGGCGCTTTAAGCGTTGCCATGGCCCCGGTGGACTGCAACGCTTGTGCAAAGTCCGTAAAACCACATTAACGGACATTTCCTGCACGCCCCCAGCTCATGGCGAACCGGGTGCTTGCAGCGGGTAGGTGTGGTGTAGGTCAGCTCAGCCACTTGAGGGTCTCGCCGGCTGCCTAGCCCCGGGTGTAGCGCGCGATCATGTCTCCGTGCCGCCATCGCCCCTGGTGCTGGATCACTGCGGTGGGCGCTTCTGCGGCGACCATCCCCCTGGCCACGCCGATGCGGCCGCTGTGTCCGGAGAAACCATCGCCCAGACCCGCAGCCCTGGCTGCGTCCCTTACCCGGTTGGCGAGGGCCTCGCTGGTCAGGCCGAACACCGAGCCCTCGGAGAGAGGCTGTTCGGCCCCGTTCGGCTGACCTCTCGCGCAGGCGCCGAGGATGATCGAGGGAACTTTGAGCCTGAAAGTTCCCATTTCCGGCGCGTCGGCCGGCTCCGGCCTCTTGGTCGCAGTGTTTGTGACGAGGCTGTGGTGGTGGGCTTAGTTTTGCCCGTGATGCGAACTTTTGTGTAAAAGTTCCCATATGACGATTCCCCACTACTGTGAACCCCCAGCAGTAGAGCGGTTTCTGGACGCCTGGCGCCTGTCGGGGCTTCGCGAGCGCCCGGTTGGCGGCGCTCATCATGTGGCGAACCGGGCTGCGTGTCGGTGAGACCGTGGCCCTGGAGTGGGCGGTACATAGACGTCACGGCCGGCCTCCCTGTTGATCCGACGCGGCAAGGTCGGCTGGGCTCGGACCGTCTCCGCTTCACCAGGATCTGGCCAGCCTGTTCGCCCAACTGGCCCACGTCCTACGGTCCGCGGGACCTGGTTGTCGGGTTGACCAGGAAGACGGCCCTGCGCACCTAGGCCGGCTTCGAGCATGCCGGTTTGGATGAGGAGTCGCCCGGGGACCGGGCGCCAGAGGGCCGGGGCCCATAGCCTCCGGCACAGTGCGGCCCGTCACTGGCTGACCACCGCCGGGATCCCGCTGAACGTGGTCAGCCAGTGGCTGGGGCATGCGACCCCGGAGGTGACGCTCCGCATCTACCTTCCCATCGTGGGCAGCACCCACTCCATGGCGGACGTCCCGTAGGTTCGAGGTTCGAGCTGCCGTTTTACAGGGTTGCGGCGTTGCGAAACGGTGGCCAGCTCGGTGGTCGCGGAGACCTCTTTAAAGTCGTGAAAATATAGTATTAACAGACAATAGGCCCCCGGCACTTAAGTGTCCGCTATCGCAGCAGTCGGCGGACCCACTGCACAAGGAGAAGTCCATGACCACGATGGGGAGCGATGGCCCACACCAGTCAACCTCAACGAAATGCTGGCCCGGGGTGGAAGGGAGGCGGCCGTGGCATTCCACCTGCTCAGTATCGAATACCACGCCAGCATCATCGAGACAAGCGGCGACGCGGAGGACCTGGAAATGCTTTTTGACATGCTGGTCCAGCACCTGATGGGCGTTCGTGCGCTCCTCGCAGAGGCGGCAGTGAACCTTGACGTCGTCTCCCCCCAGCTCATTGTCCCCGGCGCCGTGACCCCAGACAGCCAGGACAGCCGAGGAATGCGATGAGTAACACAGCCGGTCTGGAACGAGTTCGCGGCCCTCAGCTCGCGCTGATGATCTGACAGGCCAAATCCAAAGGCAGTATCACTGTCGTTAGAATGCCTTTAACCACGAAACGGTCTGTGGCTGGAATCCCTGAAGTCTTGGTTTCTGCCACCTGTTGTGCAACCAGAGTTTCCAGCCGCCCCTTCAGCTACGGGAGGTTGGCATTCCCAGCCATGGCTGTAAACAGGGCTGTTTCCAGCCACCAGCGGCCGGATGGGTCTGACCCTGGGCCAGCGCTCCGGACTCGGCGATCATGCGGCAGGGCCACTGATCCAGCAGCACCATTGTGGCGAAGCACACCGGGGCCAATTCGCGGTGCGAGTCCGCCCGGTGGCTGAAATGAGTGGTATGCGCCAGCGGTCCTTTGGAGTGATGGCAGTGCTGGCTGTACGAGACTGCGCCCTCGAAATGGAAGGGCGCTCCAGTAGCCCTCGGGTTTGGGCCGGCATGGTTCGGCACCCGGTGGGCGGCGGACGTTGCGGAGCGCATAGAGGACCCGGGGCCTCGCCTTCTGTCCGCTCCGCGGAGAATTTATCTAGGTGATAGGCCGGGTGAACCGGGGCCTCACGGGCAGAACCGGAGGCTACCCAGGTTTACATATTCCATATCCACCTGGCCCGACAAACTGCTTGGCACGCACCCGCTCAACTGGTTATCGCTGAGGTCCATTATTTCCAGGCTGGCGAGGTTGCCCAACTCCGGCGTATCTCCCCGCTCAACTGGTTCTCGTTGAGGGCCAGCACCTTCAGTTCTGGCGAAAGTTGAGAGATATCTCTCTCAACTTCGCCAGACTGAGGTGCTGGCCCTCAACGAGAACCAGTTGAGCGGGGAGATACCGCCGGAGTTGGAGAACCTCGCCAGCCTGGAAATACTGGACCTCAGCGATAACCAGTTGAGCGGGTGCGTGCCAAGCAGTTTGTCGGGCCAGGTGGATATGGAATATGTAAACCTGGGTAGCCTCCGGTTCTGCCCGTGAGGCCCCGGTTCACCCGGCCTATCACCTAGATAAATTCTCCGCGGAGCGGACCACGACAGTCTAGGCCCCTGTGTCTCTATGCGCTCCGCAACGTCCTGCCTGCCCACCGGGTGCCGATACCATTCCGGCCCAAACCCGAGGGCGACTGGATGCGCCCTTCCATTTCGAGGGCGCAGTCTCGTACAGCCAGCATGCCATCACCCAAAGTGACCTGCTGGCCATACCACTCATTTCAGCCACCGGGCGGACTCGCACCGCGATTGGCCCCGTGTGCTTCGCCACATGTGCTGCTGGTCCGTGGCCCTGCCGCATGATCGCCGACGTCCCGGATCGTCTGGCCCAGGGTCGATACCCTCCGCCGCTGGTGGTGCTGAAACAGCCCTGTTTACAGCCATGGCTGGGAATGCCAACCTCCCGTAGCTGAAAGGTGTGCGCTGGAAACTCCGGTTGCACAACAGGTGGCAGAACCAAGACTTCAGGATTCCAGCCACAGACCGTTTCGTGGTTAAAGGCATTCTAACGACAGTGATACTGCCTTTGGATTTGGCCTGTCAGATCGTCAGCGCGAGCTGAGGGCCGCGAGCTCGTTCCAGACCCGGCTGTTGTTACTCATCGCATTCCTCGGCTGTCCTGGCTTGTCTGGGTCACGGCCTGCCGGGGACAATGAGCTTGGGGGAGACGACGTCAAGGTTCCCTGCCGCCTCTGCGAGGAGCGCACGAACGCCCATCATGTGCTGGACCAGCATGTCGCCCAGCATTTCCAGGTCCTCCGCGTCGCCGCTTGTCTCGATGATGCTGGCGTGGTATTCGATACTGAGCAGGTGGAATGCCACGGCCGCCTCCCTTCCACCCCGGGCCAGCATTTCGTTGAGGTTGACTTGTTGTGGGCCATCGTTCCCCATCGTGGTCATGGACTTCTCCTTGTGCAGTGGGTCCGCCGACTGCCTGCGATTAGCGGACACTTAAGTGCCCGGGGGCCTATTTGTCTGTTAATACTATATTTTCACGACTTTAAAGAGGTCTCCGCGACCACCGAGCTGGCCACCGTTTCGCAACGCCGCAACCCTGTAAACGGCAGCTCGAACCCCGAACCTACGGGACGTCCGCTATGGAGTGGGTGCTGCCCACGATGGGCAGGTAGATGCGGAGCGTCACCTCCGGGGTCGCATGCCCCAGCCACTGCGAGACCACGTTCAGCGGGATCCCGGCGGCGGTCAGCCAGTGACGGGCCGCACTGTTCCGGAAGCTATGGCCCCGGCTCTCTGGCGCCCAGTCCCCGGCGACTCCTCATCCAAGCCGGCTTGCTCGATGCCAGCTCGCAGATGCCGCAGGGCCGTCTTCCTGGTCAACCCGACAACCAGGTCCCGCGGACCGTAGGACGTGGGCCAGTTGGCGAACAGGCTGGCCAGGTCCGGGTGCAGCGGGACGGTCCGGCCCTGCCGCCCTTGCCGCGGCGGACCAGCAGGGAGCCGGCCGTGACGTCTATGTCCCGCCACTCCAGGGCCACGGTCTCGCCGACACGCAGCCCGGATCGCCACATGATGAGCGCCGCCACCCGGGCGCGGCGAAGCCCCAGGGCCGCCAGGGAGTCCAGAACCGCTCGACCTGCTGGGGGTTCCAGTAGTGAGGAATCGTCATATGGGAACTTTTACGCCAAAAGTTCCCATCCGGGCAAACTAAGCCCACCACCACAGCCTCGGCACGAACCTGCGACCAAGGACTCGGAGCTGGCCGACGCGCCGGAAATGGGAACTTTCAGACTCAAAGTTCCCTCGAGCCATCCTCCCGCGCCCTGCGCGAGATTCAGCCGGACGGGGCCGAACACCCTCTCTCCGAGGGCTCGGTGTTCGGCCTGACCAGCGGGCCCTCGCCAACCTGGTAAGGGACGCAACCAAGGCTGCGGGTCTCGGCGATGGTTTCTCCGGACACAGCGGCCGCATCGGCGTGGCCAGGGGGATGGTTGCCGCAGAAGCGCCCACCGCAGTGATCCAGCACCAGGGGCGATGGCGGCACGGAGACATGAACGCGCGATACACCTGGGGCTAGGCAGCCGGCGAGACCCTCAAGTGGCTGAGCTGACCTACACCACGCCTACCCGCTGCAAGCACCCGGTTCGCCATGAGCTGGGGGCGTGCAGGAAATGTCCGTTAATGTGGTTTTACGGACATTGCACAAGCGTTGCAGTCCACCGGGGCCATGGCAACGCTTAAAGCGCCCGGTGCAGTAGCTCCACGACCTCTTCTTGAGTGGCTATGGGGCGAGGATTGGTTGCGACCACCAAGTCTTCCAAGGCGTCCTGAGCAATGAGGGCCAAGTCAGCCTCTGAAACACCCCAATCGCTAAGCCGGCGGGGAATGCCGAGAGTGTCGATCAGGTTCTCCAAGGCCGAGACCGCCGCGGCGGCGGCCTCGTCGTCGTTGGCGTCCCGGGTGTCGACACCCATGGCCTCAGCAATCCGCCGTTGTTGCGGAGCCGTCACTGAGCGGTTGAATTCCATCACTCGGGGCAGCATGATGCAGGAAGTCACCCCGTGGGGAACATCATTCCTGGCGCCAAGCTGATGGCCCAAGCCGTGGCTCAGGCCCACTTGGACGTTGGTCAAGGCATAGATGGACATCCAGGCGGCTACTTGGCAGTAACCAGCCGACTCCAGGTCGTCACGGTCGCTAGTGGACCGGGGTAAGGTGTTGCTGCAAGAGCCGCAGCGCCTCCAAGGCCAGTCCGTCGGAAAAGGGAAAGCTGATGTTGGAGCAGACGGTTTCAATGGCGTGGTCCACCGCTCGAATACCGGTCGAGGCCCAGAGCCATCCCGGTGTCGCCGTGGTGACCACTGGGTCCAGAAACGCCTCCGACACCCAAAGCCCATCGCCGGTATACAGGTCCTTTACCTTGCGTTCCTCGTCGGTGGCCCCGGCAAAGTTGGTGAACTCGCCGGCTGACAGGGTAGTGGAGATCGAAATGTGGGGTAAAGCACGGGTTGTGCACCGCCGGTATTTCCACTTTATCCGGATACTGGAACCGGATACGGTAGCGGTCAAGTTGGCGCTCATCGGTGACGTTTTCAGCCAGGCACAACGCTACCAGCTTGGCGGTGTCGTTGGGACTGCCCCCACCAAAGCTGATCAGGAGGTCTGCATCAGCACTCTGGGCCGCTCGGGTAGCCGCCAACACCGTGGCTCTGGGAACGTGCTGCCGCGTCTCACCAAAAACTCCAACACAGCGGTCGCCAAGCAACTCTTGAATTCGCCCCAAGATTGTTCCCTGCTGCATCAGGGAGTGCCCGGTGATGATGAACACTCGGGCGCCGCCCAGCTCATCCACCGCCGCCGGAAGACCGGAAAGACAGCCTTCACCGTAGTGGACCCGTTTCACCTGAGGGGAGGTGAATGACCCCATCGGCAACGGCGTTCCGGGCATGATTTACCTCCAGACCTGTATTCCTTTTGGGCTGGCTAAACCACTCCGGCCGATTAAACCACGAGTGGACTGACACCGGATACCGGCGCCGCTTAATCGACAGCCTAGTGTAGCCCAATTCCGGTGTCAATTATCAACGGATTACTGGCCAGGGCGCAGGGCAACCGCATTCTCCAGAAAAGGAAGGTGACTGCCAAGATTTAAGTGGTGAGCAAGCATATGATGGTAGGGATGGTGGTGATGAGCAGTAATGCAGGTGTCAGCTGAGGCGAACATTTTGGCAATATGGAGGACCCCAGAAGGGCTAGGCAAGCGGCATCAACTCTTGGACATTATCACGATGACCATCCGCGCGGTTATCGGGGGCGCTGAGGGTTGGAGCGACGTAGAGTTGTTCGTCCAATGCAAGTACGAATGGTTCCAGAGATTTCTGGACCTGCCCGACGGGGTACCTTGCCCTGACACCTTTGCCAGGGTGTTCGCCCGCATTGACCCGGAACAATTCCGGGACTGCCTCATGGACTGGGTGAGCAGCGTCAACCGGTTGACCCACGGCCAGGTGATTGCCGTGGATGGCAAGACCTTGCGGCGCTCCCACGACCGCAACTCGGGGAAGGAGGTCATTCACATGGTCAGCGCTCTGGGCTTCGGAGAACTCCTTGGTGTTGGGTCAGACCAAGGTGGAAGCGAAGTCCAATGAAATCACGGCCATACCTGAGTTGCTCAACCTGCTGGACATGTCGGGTTGCATCGTCACCATTGACGCCATGGGCTGCCAGAAGAAGATAGCCCGGCAGATTGTGGGCCAGGAAGCCGATTACGTTCTGGCGGTCAAGGAAAACCAAGGGAGGCTGCTGGAGGATGTGGACTGTTTTCCTGCGGACAGAGGACCGGATTTGAAGATATTGACGCACGATTTACTGCAGACCGTGAGCAGCGGGCTACGGACGCGCTGAAACCCGGCGCGGTGGACCACTTGACGCACCCGGAGTAAAAGTAAACAGTTTGTCCTACTGGATTCCGAGTGCGAGTCTGGCCTGGGTTGAGGAGCAGCGGGATGGTCGCCGCGAAACGATGTCAAGGGGAGCAGGTGTCGGAGAATCCCGCTATTACTTCTGCAGTCTTGATCGGATACCCATCGGCCTTTTCTTGCGGGCGGCTCGAGCCTTTGCGTATTCGAGAATCGTGCACTGGGTGCTCGACTTGTCCTTCCGGGATGCACGAGCCGGTTCGCGGACAGCGCGGTCCGGATGACGAGTCCGCATTAGGCACAATTTGGACGTGCAGGGCAACAGGGTCTCTTGATAAATGG